CTATTGTAATACAGTAGTTTCCATTGTCTTTTCCAGTATCCCTATATAACCCCAGTAATATACCCCATTGTGGGGGACTATATGCTATAATCACAAACTCTTCAAGTCTTGACGGCTCTTCAGTGGTAAGTCTAGAGATGCCCCACCCGAAAAAAAGACGGAAAGTGCAACGAGAGCAGGGTTGAACCCTACTAGGTTCCTGTTTAGGGTTTAGGGGTTTAGGGTTTAGGGGTTTAGGTTTTTAGGGTTTAGGGTTTAGGGTTTAGGGATTTGAGCGATTCCTTCGGGTAGTTTCCAAGATTTCGGTCCGATGATGGTACTCCCTATATCACCGCAGGGTCCGACAGTTCATCAGGAGAAGGCCCACAGTTCCAAGAAAAAGCGTGAACCAAGTTGGTTTTGTAACCGCATCCTGGCAGCAGATAGAGGGGCGAAAGGATGCCTTTGCTGATGCCGAGCACTCAAACCCTAAAGCGCCTACACCTCATTCAAACTCGAAACGGCATCTGTTTTTTTGGGGCACATCTGGCATGAACAGCATCTAAACCCTAAACGGCTTGCTCATAGTAATACTACGAAGTATAATGGAAGGCATAAGACGCTTGAGGGGTTTTAGGTCTACGTAGGGTTAAAGGGTTTATGGTTTAGCATACAACTATACTCGCAATAGTTCTAGTAATAGTCATTGCGGCATTAAGGACAGTACTAAGAACAACGCTTATGATAAGAAAGGCAATATTACTATCGTTGTTCTTTAAAGGGTTTTAGGCTTCGAGTTCCGTTTGGATGCTTTCGGCGTAAGCCACTATCCAACTGAGCGCAAACCCCCTTCGCCAGGAAACGAACCCTAAACCCTGGCATCCATCCCATCCCTAATCAAACCAAACCCTAAGACTCTATAGTCCCCCTTAAGTAGATAGAATATCGGTTATATGGGGTAATACACCCAAAGCCATATTCTGTCTACTTAAGGGGGACTCTAAGCCTAAGCCCCGCCCGCCCTGCTCTTGGTCATGAATCCTGAGCCACCCGCCTCAGCACTCTTGAGCCTGAATGACGCCCGTGAAAATACTCCGCCAAAGCACATCGGGGGTGTATTAGGTGTGTGTGTATATATATATATGCTACCCCCCCTCCCAAAACCTACCTTTTATTAGAACATCATAGCCTGCGCAGTAGATTTGACTAATTGTCCACCCTTTTTCTATGGCATAAATCCTATAGAGTGCAGCATGACGCTATATTACCCTTTCCTAAACTCCGAATTTCCCATAGTATAGCTTGAATATTTTTGAGCCATTTGTCTTGGACTCTAAGCCCTGAATCCTATAATCAAAACCCTACACCCTAAGTCCGAAGCCCCAAACCCCAAACTCACCGAACTCTCAGGTTCACCAACGCAGCACTCCATGACATAGAGGTAATGTAGGGTTCCTGCGAGATCCCGACAGCTTAATCCATGAGGGCAACCGTCCGAAACTCCAGATGCGAATCCAAAGAAATGTCAGGGCTTAGGGTTCACTCTCGCCGTTTTTGCGGGCATTGCACAGTTTGGTGCAGCACCTTGTATGTTGCACCAAGTGGGGCTTTAATTTGGGAAGCTACACCATTAGTTGCAGAGAAGTTGCCAAAGAAGCCCCCAAGAAGCCTGTAGGGCCTTCTTTCACGCATACTCTGCTTCAACCCTGTGTCCTAACATCCTGATCCCTAAAGCCTAACCGCTAAGCCCCAAGCTTAGACGATAATTGGTAGTTTCCCCAAAAAGGGGGACCCCAATATAGACCCCAATATATTCTAATCATTATTATTGGGACCCCCAAAAAATACCCCTAGTTTTGCGAAACCCCCCCCCCCATTCTGCAGGCAGTGCAGGTGGTCCTGGAGGGGCAGCTGATCACTTCGACGGGGGCACGGGGCCCAACAGGGGAATCGTTGAAGGCAGGGTGGTTGAGGGTCAAGCCCTGAACCCCAAACCCCTAAACCCTAGACCCCAAATCCCTTAAACCCCAAACCCCTAAACCTTAAACTTCCTAAACCCAGAGAAACCCTAAACCCCAAACCCCTAGACCGTAAGCTTCCTAAACCCCTAAACCCTAAACCCCTAAACCCCAGACCCTGAACCGTTAAGGGTCTAGGGTTCGGGGGCGTTCAGAGTCAGACGTAGACTTGGGGTTGTTGGAGAATTGGGGATCTGGGGGCCTAAATCTGAGGAAGTTCAGGGTTTAGGGTCTGAGGTTTAGGGTTTCAGGGTTTAGGGTTCAGGTTTAGTGTTTAGGGTTTTAGGGAGGTAGTTTCCCCCATACAGATCTCACCTGGCCCTTAAGTAGTCGAAGTGTCGCCATATGAGCCGTATATAAGCTTTATGTAAGGGTACCCACCTGGTAGCTACACATTTAAAACCTCCCTTAACTAACAGCGTTTCAAAATTTTGGGTTGTGTAGTCCCTTTGGATGTAAGGTTTTCAGGGTTGGAGCAGTGTAGGGTAAAATATATTCCCAGTTCCCATTTCATTTGCCATTTCCTTTTCCATTTTATTTGCCATCTAATCCCCACAGCGTCCCATAGATTTTTATTGGAAACATTGACTGTAGCTGGAATCTGTATATCGTCCCGATAGCCCCGCAAAGAAAGACGCATAACTTGGAGAAACTGCGTTCCCGTACTTCGTTTTGAAGCTTAAAAGAGAATCCGTAGGCCGGAGACCCTAATATAAGGGCCTCAATAAATACCAGTATCATGGCCTCAGTGCTTTCTAGAATTAATAGGAAAATACGGGTACCTAAAGTAAACCTGAAAATGATACTTGCAATGATTCAGACTCCCGTGCGAGGCTTCGAGCTCTAATCTTCTCAGCTTTTGCCACGGAAAACGTGCGCCTAGGTGTTCGCGGCAAGGCGCTCATTCAGGCGCTTCTTCGTAGTTCATGCAAGGTTGTGGGTTAGCCCACCCATGAGCGATTAACGGTGACCACAAGGGATCATGGTAATCATATCAATGTCCTGACACATTCCCAACATACCGCTACTACCGGGTGGGGACCCAACCTACGCCATTTTCCAGGATTGGCAATAGTAAGCATGACGCTGCCAGCACTGTTCGCAAACATGGTATCGATTTTCGCAACAGGTGTTTGGGCTGCAGGGTTGTTGTTAAGAATTGTAAAGTAAGTTACCAAGGAAACCCATGTATTTACTAATTTTATGGTAACTTAATCTAAGTTCCTTAAGAGCCACGGAGCAGGTGAACTTCTCATGCAGTTTTTGAGATCTTTGTGTCATGTAGGCTTTAGGGCTTAGGGGATTCCCAATCCATATAGGTACAACCGGTATTGGATCAAAACATTAAACTCCAAACCCTAAACCCTCCATGTCAGCATAAATGGTTTATTCAGTAACACGGGTGCGAGCGTTTTTTGTTAGCCCTAGACCCTAAACCCTTGTGTTTGCTAGCGCTGTGTGGGCAGGGTGACGAGACACCAAATTTGCACGTCAGTCGGAGATCTTTTGTGAAGACTCAACTACATGACGANNATGCTGACTGCGTTGACCTGGTCATGTTGGGGCATGCCCGCTAGAAAGTAGCGTGCTCATGGTATGGACATGGTGGAGTTGCGGAATTTGTAGGGGGACTTTGCGTTTGCAATGTTGTGTTTGCTAGTGCTGTCCAGGCAGGGTGACGAGACACCGAATTTTGCATGTCAGTCGGAGATCTGTTGTGAAGACTCAACTACATGACGAACGATGCTGACTGCGTTGACCTGGTCATATTAGTGGCATGCCTGCGTGAAAGTAGCGTGCTCATGGTATGCACATGGTGGAGTTGCGGAATTTGCAGGGGACTTTGTGTTTGCAATGTTGTGTTTGCTAGTGCTGTCAATGCAGGGTGACGAGACACCGAATTTTGCACGTCAGTCGGAGATCTGTTGTGAAGACTCAGCTACATGACGAACGA